AAGCGTGTGGCTTAAGATTAATGCTTCGTTAACTGTACATCTGATCTATCTTTTTTTCTAACCTATTAATTGATGTTTATTTATATTATAAATCAGCGTAAAAATTTATGCATGCATTATATATGGCTTATCCAGATCTTTCAAACCGCGAATGAATTTGTAGTTGGATTTGGTCATCCACAAGAAAGATGCGTCATCCTTGTGTGCGTGCGTGCTTAGCTTGCTTGTTTGACAATTCAGTGATTTTAATTTGTCCAAATGAATACGAGAGTCAGTATATACTCAATCTTAGTTTTGGTTTTTCGCCTGGTGGATTTTGTCTTAATTACTAAGTCCTATTTAACTTGTGACTCTGTCATTATTGGCAGGGTGATTAAGTCCATACACTTGCCACTAATCCTGCAAGAATGACCAGTCTTTCTTGGTTAATTAGAAATGATTGGGCATGATAAACAACTTGTTTCGCTTGATTACGAAACGACTTGAAACATCTCAGTGTAGGGCCCATCTACCTATCCCCACCAATTGGTGGAGCCCACTCCATCAACTTGAAACATAATTGATGAGTAACTCCAACATGCTTTAAGGATTTTTTTTTTTTGGGGGGGGGGTGTTATACAGCTGCCTTAAGAGGTCGACGCGCACCCGGCAATGGACCATCAAGCCACGATTCTCAATTGGCCTGCGGCTTTTAGTTCCGTCTTTTTCTGTTCCGCTTTTCATTTATTTGTTTTTTTCCCCAAAAAAAAAAAGTAATTTCATCACTTAAATTTAGGTTGACTTTACTCCAAATTTTTGGCTAAACAATACTACCTCCGGTTCTAATTATAAAAGCTAGTTAACTAATTTGAGAAGATTAAAGAAATAAGTTAAATTAATTATTTGTAATAAATTAGTATTGTTTTTCGTAAAATATCCTTGCTAATCAAGTATATTGGCTAGAACTACCATTGTTAGAAGGACTACCTTGGAAAAGAATGTATAAATATGAGAGACAAAATAGATTGGGATCTTATATTTAGGACAAAAATAAAAGTCAAATAAAATCTTATATTAAGGATCGAAGGTAGTATATTTAAAAAATAATTTTTTTATATGTTCATTTTCAGATCAAGAATAAAATCATAAATTCATTGTCAAAAATATTAGCTTGTTCACTAAAAACAAATTAGCTCTACCCATATTACTCTATATGTCCATATGTATATTACTCCTCCGGTCCTTAATATAGGACCCAATTCTTATGTTGGTTTTGGTCCTAAATATAGGACCCCTTTCTCATATTTATCAATTTTCTCTAAATTACCCCTATGGATACTCCCTCAACTATAATCAAGTAGAAGAAGGAGAGGGGGTATTAAGAAAGATGGTTATGGTGTTTTAGGAAAAATGTGTCACTTTTCTTACAATTAACTAAATTACCTAACTTCCTTAATCTAATCAAATTAGTTAAATGGGTATTATATTAAGGACCGGATGAGTACATAGGAGGATTATGTATTCTTTTTTCTCATTAAAACAAACGGGAAATTATGTAAAGCGGGGAAATGACAATCTCACATTTACAATTAAGAATATAATCTTATAAATTTTAAAAATTACTATGTTCAAGTAAGGTTCCTTATTGAAAATTGGAAAAAAGTGTGATAACTAAAATAATAAAGAGAAATATGTATAAACTATAAAGTGCGTATAGCATGGTTGATTTTTAAGACATTAATGTGATAATAAATATATCATCAATCGATATCAATTAAATGTTAAAAATCTAATAATGCTACGCTCATTGTAAACAGCGATCGTTCATATATACAATTTCTGTTCTTAGATTATTATTATTTTTTCCCAAATACAGTGCCTAGCACTGATACGAATTAAGTAAAAAAAAAAAAGAGTAGTTTAAGCTACTTTTGAGGAGTTTCAGCATAATTTAAACTCCTTCAATATCAGTATTGTGCTGTTGGGCTGTCACATGTCAGGCAGATGAAAAAAGTCTAAGGTGTAATGTACATGAGCTGGTTCCGGTCAAAAAAAAAAAAAGTACATGAGCTGGTTGTGAAATTGAATATGTAAAAATTTTAAATCCGCGAAGAAAAGGATCGGAATGATTGCATCATTGTACAATGTAAATATAAATAGGGAAAAACAAAAATAACTTTTAGAAAAATCATATTTAATTATGACGCATTACTTTGAATTTTTATTAAATTTAGTACTGTATTTACTGTCACTAACAGCGTAAAATGAAAACGAATCCTGCCGGAAAATCAAGTACTCCTCCGGTCTTTATTATAAGACCCAATTTGACTTTTTATTTGGTCCTAATTATAAGACCCAATCCATTTTGTCTCTTATATTTATGCATTTTTTCCAAGATAATCCTTCTAATAATGATAGTTTTAGCCAATATACTTAATTAGCAAGGATATTTTAGGAATGGCAACACTTATTTATTATAAATAACCAACTTAACTTACTTCCTTAATCTCCTCAAATAAGTCAATTGGGTCTTATAATTAGGACCGGAGGAATATTACTTATCAAATAAAATATCAAGTTTAATATTATTTATATTCAATTATTTTATCAATGCTATTACAATCAATGTTTTAAAAGCCAGACCGGACATCAAACCGGAAAAGTCAGCGAGTCATGGTTCAAACGGTCGGATCGGTAAGACCATCTGGTTGGACCGGTAATATAAAAATTAAATTAAAAATAATATTATGTATATATAATAAATATATAAAATTAAAATATCAAATTTTTAAATAGCATAAAAATAAATTTAAATAGTTTAACTTGATAATGATTTTGAGTTTTTTCATTCTGCTCCCATTTGATTTTTTCTGGCAAGCGTTGATTTTGGGCCTTCACTCACATTCAGACATTCTCATAAGTTATACGCGCACACTAGGATGAGCAGTACACTACACGTGGATTATGCTGGACTAATCACAAGAAGAAAAGTTTAGAAAACATAAAATAAATCTTCACAGATAAGGACAAGGGTAGGGAGAAGAATCTAGAGACGGAAAAAAAGGACCTTTTGGGGAGAGAGTGAGAGTGAGTTGCTACGTTCTTCCATTAGCTTCGCCATTATCTAAGACGTACAGCTTTGGGCAAGGGGAGATTGGAAGTCGCGATAGAGGGAAGAAGTGAAGCTTGCTCACTTGCTTGAGGATGAGGATTAACCAACGAACAACAATGACGGAGGAAAGGAAGCACAGAGAACTGAAGAAGACGTGGTATTTTAGCAAAAGTGTAAAATCATCCCAGAGGAATGACGAAATATATCAGATCTGAAGGTTTTTTTTGCCAGAAAAGGTAAGCTCAAAACCATCCGGTTTACTCAAATCCGTTCCGGTTCCCAGCTCAAATCCGGATTCCGGCTCAAAAGGCGGTTCAAAACGGCTGAATCCGGCTGAAAGCATAAGATGGCCTGAAGCATTTGAACTAGCCGCTTGTATCACCAGGTGACGGTCAAACCGGTTGGACTGTCCGGTCCGGTCCGGGTTTAATAACACTGATTACAATATAATAAACACATTATATATTCGTGGGGTATGAGATCCAATATTGAAGTCACAATTTTCACAACTTTTTGCCAACGGGCTGTTATCAATGAAAACTTTTATTTTTTTCTTAAAATTTTCATACGCATATATCAGCATTTTAAAAAAAGAGAAAGTATATTTTTTCAAACATTTTAAAGTTATTTTCCCTTACTAAGCACATGAATTCTCATTAGAGGCAATCATATTTAATCGAACATTAAATGTAAATATTTCTTCGGCAAAACTTCAAACCTTCATTTATTATGTTGAAAGAAATTAACTTCTTTCATTAGATGTCACCCCATTTTAAAAACATTTTAAAGCTCTTATCTATCTCATTGCATCAGTGAGAAAGAAGATGCATAATTGAAAAGATCAGTAGTTGCGGTTGTGTTTTTTGCTAACTAGGCCCAACCCAATCTACTGGGAGAGTGTTTGGAAATATATAAAATTATTTTTTTATAAAATAAAATAAATTATTTTACATATTTATTTCGTATATAAAAAAATATTTTTAAAATTGATGTTTGATTTCTATTGAAACAAAAGTTATGTCGGGTTGATCGTGTTAATGAGTGCAGTTCCTCCTTTATGAACCGGTTCAGGGTACTACCACAGCTAGTTATTCTTCGATGATGCCCTCGCCCCGAAACTAACACATGTTTGGGCTTTTCAGAAGTCCTTTCACATGAAGACAAAACATACTTATGTCGTAAAGTAAAATTACTTTCAAAAACCTAATCACAGGTACCTGAATGTATATAAAATCCGTTTATGCCAATCATTAAAAATAAGAGATAGAGATTTAAATTAAAATTAAGAAAATCTATTAAAAAAATATTTAGCATGAAAGATTTTTTATTATATAGAATTAGATAAACTCATATATAAGGGGTTGGAGAATATCATGAGACGAGATAGTATTCTTCAATTCTACTTTTATGAATTTGTCTAATTTTATGTAATAAGTAAATGTTAAGTATTTTCCTAATAACTTTTCTCATTATAATCACAATTCCTATCCCCATTTTTAATGCTTTACACAACACAAACGATAAGAGTAATGCTCTGTCCTCAGTATCTGCGTAATCTTTTCTGGATAAATGAATGCACAGAGTACTCATGTTAATTGTATGCGGAAGCAGAGAAACAGAGTAGACGGCACGGCACTCCTGCGCTGTTCCATTGAGTAAGGAATTTCACAATCCCTAGAATGAAAAATCTGATAGTTTCATCAAGAATGTCCGCACAGGTTGGGACACATAAAACTAAACGAACGGTAAGAAATGCAGACAAGGAAAGGAAAGGCATCTGAATCATGGTCCCACTATTGGATTCAGCTGGCGTTGCTCCCACGCACCTCCCCTGCTTTTCCCACTTACTCATGCGCACGCTTCTCATCCTCACGATTAGAATCTCCTTTCTTTATGTAACTTATTTAAATTTTCTTTTAGAATTCTACGATCAGGGAAAAGAAGTTGCATCTCTTTTTTCTGCCTCATAAAAATATAAGCAAAACATTAAATGGAAAATTATAAACTTTGAGATGTTTCATTGTATGTCTGGCTAGTTGGGTTCTGATTCGTTTCTGCACTAATTATATCAAGTCGAATGCATGCCCTGACTCTCTTATTTCAATATTCTTTGTCATTCCGTGCAGAGATCAGCCACCTCACTTGAACAACTCTTCATTTCCCTTTCAAGTGCTATTTATCTTCTTCCTCTGTAAATTTCAAATTCCGAGCTTGGTATTCTCCTTTGCAACTGTTGCCATGTCTTTCAGAGGTCTCGGTCGGGTAAGTTCTTCTCTGGTGTGAGAATATTTTGGCTTGTCGGAACATGAAAAGTCGTTAATCTAAGCTTTTTGACGAAAACATTAAACCTGGCTATTATCAGCCAAATGCCTCGTCAGGCATGGGAGTGGCTGATCACAGCAAGAAGAGCTTCATGGAGCTGAAGCAAAAGAAGGTGCATCGATACGTGATCTTCAAAATCGATGAGAAGAAAAGGGAGGTGGTGGTGGAGAAAACGGGTGGTCCGGCGGAGACTTATGATGATTTCACGGCATCACTGCCTGAGAATGATTGCAGATATGCTGTGTATGACTTTGATTTCGTCACTTCAGAGAACTGCCAGAAAAGTAAAATCTTCTTCATTGCGTGGTCAGTTTCCAACCCATAACCTTGAGTTCGTTGATTCTGGCGGGCACACACACACATATAACGTAACTCTATGGTGATCATGTATTGGTAATTATAGGTCACCTTCAAGCTCTCGAATCCGAGCCAAGATGCTGTATGCGACATCGAAAGACAGGTTAAGGAGGGAGCTAGATGGGGTGCACTACGAAATCCAGGCAACTGATCCCACAGAAATGGATCTTGAAGTTCTCAGAGATCGTGCACATTAATTCACACATCTCTACGCTCTCCTGTATCTTCATTATATATGACTAGTTCACACTCGTACGTCTATGCATTAAAACTAAATGTAACAATAAAGTGAATCTCTTTCGCGCCTAATGGATTTGAGCTTCTATCTCATGCGGGGAATTCAGCCTCCCGTCTCTTCATTCAGTTAGCAAGTAATTTGAAATTTGAATATGAAATCAAGTTGTTAATATTCTCAGATTTTTAATACGCTTAATTAACTATAAGTAGTTCAGAAAAATACTGGGATATTTTACTTCATCTCCGTGTTTGTATACAATCAATTTGAAAACAGTTATGCTTATTTCTGTATTTTTGCAAATTTATTAGATATATTAACAGAGATACATGTATAGTGTGACGTTAATCTGATCTTCATCATATGTTTCTTCAATGGCTGATAGTTGAGGTTAATTAAAACGGTGAAACAACCTGAACAAAAATCTTCCGTACGATTTTTTCTGTGCTTTTACCACCAATTACCAGCTGGAATTCAGAGTTAAAGAAACCACGAAAGTAATCACAAATCAAACATACTGTGTGACTATTTGGCAGCGCTTAAATTGGCTCATAAGCCACTTATTTCAGACAGAAACCTGATTGAGAAATGGAGTGCAATTTGGGAGGGCTTAAGCTCAATTGAGCTTATTTTTCAGAAGCTCAAGAAACCCTGCGTTTCCCAAAAGCTGGAAGGAGGAGCTTTTGAAGAGCTTATTGGACTGTTAATGTGTGAGAACTTACTCCCCATTAATATTTTTCCCTCACTTCTGTCATATTATTCCCTCATATTCCTCTCTTTGTTTTTTTCGACCAGGAGCTCTCATTTTACCCAGGAGACTTGTCTGCAAAACTGTCTTTCTTAGAGAATCTAGCTTCATGATGACATATTATTTACCAATTTAAATTCATTCATAGAGTGAGCAAAGCACTAATGAGGATAGTCAAAAGAATTTAATATTTTCAAATTTAATTTACTCATTAAATTTCATTTTTTCATATTAAATTAATTTAAATTTATTGTATTATGTTAATTCATTTTTTTAATCATGTTTCACTTTATATTTAAAATATTTTGTATGATTTTTCTAAATTTTAAAATTTAATTTACTCATTAAATTTCACTTCTTTATATCAAATTAATTTAAATTCACTATATTATGTAAATTTATTTTTTTAATAATGTTTCATTATTCATTAAAACTCATACCCATTTTGATAATTTTACAAACAAACTTACTTTTACTCAATCATAATCCAAATAATCTTTTACCAATTTTACTTTTACAGACTAATTTTTTTAAACTCCAATCCAAATACAATTCGTTTTACCCATTTTAGGGGGTGTTTGAATAGAAACCAAACCATAGTTTTAAAAGTGCTTTTACGGTTTATGAAGTAAATATATGGAGGAATTTGTCTCATTTTACGGAAAAGTGCTTCTGAAACTATGGTTTGAAGGTTGCCAAACACCCCTTTAATTTTTACCCAATCTTATTTTTCTAAAAGTCAGATTAGAAATAAACTAATTTTTCCACAACCAATCTAAATCGACCACCATCTTTGCTCTTAAATATAACATCTCGTTCCACTGGTTTGTAGCATTACTTATTTATTTATTATTTATTGAATAGCAACATTAATTAATTTAATTTGAAGTGGAATGAGATAGAACTGACACCTATTTCTATATATACATGTACCAATCATGGACTACCGCTCCTCAATATAACAGCTTTTATGTTGACTTTAAACATAAGATCTCACTCTATTTTGTCTCTTATAATAATAATTTTAGCCAATATACTTAATTAATAAGGATATTTTAAGAAAGACATCACCTATTTATTACAAATAATTAATTTAACTAGTTTTTTTAATTTATTCAAATTAGTCAACTAACTCTTATATTAAGTATCAGAAGTAGTAATAAGCAAGAGGAATTGCTTTATTGCTGCAATCGGGTGTTCGCTTTGTGTGTACCTTGCCTTCGTCTTCCTCCTCAGCTTCCCCTGATATATCCTCCAAGGATTTGCCCTCTGGCCCAGGCACCAAGAAAGTGAGAGCGAGGCCTAAAGCGTTGATGGCGCCCAGCACAAGTAGTGAATAATACCTGGACCATACCCTGCATCTACTTTTCTGGTATCCTGATTCTGTGCCAGAGCCAAGAATCCGAATGCGCCAACTATGGCCCCCGGCTTCCCGGACGCTGACGATATGCCATGGCACGTTGATCTAAATCTGGCTGGGAAAATCTCTGCTGGCACCACAAATGTTGTAGCAGTAGGTCCGAAATTTGAGAAGAAGAAAGTCAGAGAGTACAAAACCACAAATCCAATTCGGTTCTCCTTCAGAGTCCAGTGGTGGTAAGGAATGGCCAGAGCAGACATGAACACAGTCATGAAAAAGAACCCCATCATCTGGATAGTGAATCTTCCTATTTTGTCAATTAAAGCCACGGTGAACCAGTAGCCTGGAATTGTACTGCACAGAGCAATAAGAGTTTGAGCCTTGGGGATGGAGTAAAGCTCGTCGAGGGCATTCATGGTTTTTGCAGGAGGAATCCATCCAACTGCACTGAATATATCTTTCTGGAAGAGGTTCTGGCTGTAATGAGCAATGTCAAGCAAGAACCAAGTGCTCGAGGTTCCCAGCAAATGAAGGCCATGACGAATCAGGAACTCCTTGGAAAACAATCCAAACAACTTGGCCTTTGTATGATCAGTAGTTTTCTTCTCAACTTTCTCATGCTCAGCTTGAATCTCCACCTGCAAAACCTTGGACATATCAGCCGCTGCTCTCTCTGCATTCTGAGCAACAAGAGCAGTGTAACGAGCAGTTTCAGGCATCTACCTATCCCCACCAATTGGTGGAGCCCACTCCATCAACTTGAAACGTAATTGATGAGTAACTCCAAGACGCTTTAAGGATTTTCTTTTTTTTTGGGGTATACAGCCGCTTTAAGCGGTAGACGCGCATCCGGCATTGGACCATCAAGCCAGGATTCTCAATTGGCCTGCCGCTTTTAGTTCCGTCTTTTTCTGTTCCGTTTTTCATTTACTTGTTTTTTCCCCCAAAAAAAAAGAAAGTAATTTCATCACTTAAATTTAGTTTGACTTTCCTCCAATTTTTTGGCTAAACAATATATATTTTTTAAATATATTGTTGTGTTATATGTTCATTTTCAGATTAAGAATAAAATCATAAATTCACCTTGTCAAGAATATTAGCTGGTTCACTAAAAACAAATTAGCTACACCCTATGTCCATATGTATATTACATAGGAGGATTATGTATTCTTTTTTCTCATTAAAACAAATGGGAGATTATGTAAAGGGTGGAAATGACAATCTTACATTTACAATTAAGAATATAATCTTATAAATTTTAAAAATCACTCTGTAAAAGTAAGGTTCCTTATTGAAAATTGGAAAAAAAAAGGTGTGATAACTAAAATAATAAAGAGAAATGTGTATAAACTATAAAGTGTGTATAGCATGGTTGATTTTTAAGACATTAATGTGATAATAAATATATCATCAATCGATATCAATTAAATGTTAAAAATCTAATAATGCTACGCTCATTGTAAACAGCGATCGTTCATATATACAATTTCTGTTCTTAGATTATCATTTTTTTTCCAAATACGGTGCCTAGCACTGATTCGAATTAAGTAAAAAAAAAAAAAAAAAGAGTAGTGTAAGCTACTTTTGAGGAATTTCAGCATAATTTAAACTCCTGAAATGTCAGTATTGTGTTGTTGGGCTGTGACTTGTCAGGAAGATGAAAAAAAGTCTAATGTGTAATATACATGAGCTGGTTGTGAAATTGAATATGTAAAATATTAAATCCGCGAAGCAAAGATCGGAATGATTGCATCATTGTACAAGGTAAATGTAAATAGGGAAAAACAAAATAACTTTTAGAAAAATCATATTTAATTATGACGCATTACTTTGAATTTTTATTAAATTTAGTACTGTATTTACTCTCACTAACAGCGTAAAATGAAAACGAATCCTGCCGGAAAATCAAGTATTACTTATCAAATAAATATCAAGTTTAATATTATCAATGAAAAATTTATTTTTTTCCTTAAAATTTCATACGCATATATCAGCACTTTAAAAAAAGAGAAAGTATATTTTTTTCAAACATTTTAAAGTTATTTTCCCTTACTAAGCACATGTATTCTCATTAGAGGCATTGTATTCAATCGAACACTAAATATAAATATTTTTTCAGCAAAACTTCAAACCTTCATTTATTATGGTGGAAGAAATTAACTTTTTTCATTAGATGTCACCCCATTTTTAAAACATTTTAAAGCTCTTATTTATCTCATTGCATCAGTGAGGAAGAAGATACATAATTGAAAAGATCAGTAATTGCGGTTGTTTTTTTCCCTAACTAGGCCCAACCCAATCTACTAAGGGAGTGTTTGGGAATATATAAAATTATTTTTTCAAGATATTTTTTTGGGAAAATCACAAATAAAGACCCTTGAATTAGCAAAATCACTCTATAGTCACCTGAATAAGCCAAATTACCATGAGGGACCGGGTTTCAAATTGCAATTATGAAATCATGGCCAAATTACCAAAATACCCCTCTTTAATTTTTTTTTAAAAAAGAAAGCCACTGCCTCAAGCGCCTCACCGGAATCCGGCCACCGGCGTTGGAGCTCCGGCGGCCGCTTTCGGCCACTGCCGGCGGGGCCCGGCCGCCGAAGCTCCGGCATCGGCAGCCGCTTCCAGCCACTGCCGATGGCCTTCCTTTGTTTTTTTTTTGCAACTGCTTTTTTTTAAAATAGTGGGGGAAGTGAGGTTGGGGGGATTTGATCCCCCAACCTAATGCTTCCCAAAATAAGGAATGACCATTGAGCCAACAAATTTTTGTTAACATTATAGTGCAAAAAATATATATAAGTTAACTCATTTACTCTTTTCCAGGTGATAACAACAATAATTTGAAAATAACAAGTTCTGATTGTAAAATAACACGTCTGGAATAAAAATTTAACAATATGTTTTTTTTATAACAATAAATTTTGTTGCAGGTAATAACAACAATACATTTAAAAATAACAAGTTTGGGATTAAAATTTAACAACACATTTTTTTTATAACAACACACTTTGTTTCAAGTGATAACAACAATACATTTAAAAATAACAAGTTCTGATTATAAGATAATAAGTTTGGGATTAAAATTTAAAAACACGTTTTTTTTTATAACAACACACTTTGTTTCAGGTGATAACAACAATACATTTGGAAATAACAAGTCTGGGATTAAAATTTAACAACACATCTTTTTATAACAATTAATTATTTTATACTTTAAAAAATAAATTATTTATAACTTATAAAAAATATTTTTAATATATTCATTTCTCAAAAAATACTTTTTAATCTATATATCTATACAACTCATTATAAATCAAACTACTTCTTATAAATTATAAAGTATTTATAATTAGGTATTTTTAATCTATTAATCATAGTATAAATTTTATATTATTTCATTCTTTAAATATTAAAAATAGTTTTATATTTAAAGAATAAAATAGTATTTTTAATTATAAATTAGAGATAAATTTCATTTATAAATTTAAGCAGTCAAAAAGTATTTTTAATCCACAATAAATTGTACTATTTATAATTTATAAGAAGTAGTTTGATTTTTAATCCACAAAATTTATTGTTATAAAAAAACATATTGTTAAATTTTTATTCCAGACGTGTTATTTTACAATCAGAACTTGTTATTTCCAAATGTATTGTTGTTATCACTTGGAACAAGAGTAAATAAGTTAACTTATATATTTTTTTTGCATTATAATGTTAACAAAAATTTGTTGGCTCAATGGTCATTCCTTATTTTGGGAAGCATTAGGTTGGAGGATCAAATCCCCCAACCTCACTTCCCCCACTATTTAAAAAAAAAAGCAGTTGCAAAAAAAAAAAACAAAGGAAGGCCGCCGGCGCCGGCAGTGGCCGGAAGCGGCCACTGGTGGCTGAATTCCGGTGAGGTAGTGGCTTTCTTTTTTAAAAAAAAAAAATAAAGAGGGGTATTTTGGTAATTTGACCATGATTTTATAATTGCAATTTGAGACCCGATCCCTCATGGTAATTTGGCTTATTCAGGTGATTATAGAGTGATTTTGCTAATTCGAGGGTCTTTATTTGTGATTTCCCCTATTTTTTTTATAAAATAAAAAAAATTCTTTTATATATTTATTTAAAAATATTTTAAAAATTATTATTTGATTTCTATTCAAACAAAAGTTATGTCGGGTTCATCATGTCAATCCGCGCAGCCCCTCCTTTATGAACCGGTTCACGGTACTACGACAACTAGTTATTCTTCGATGATACCCTCGGCCCGAAATTAACACATGTTTGGGCTTTTCAGAAGCCCTTTCACATGAAGACAAAACATATTTGCGTCGTAAAGTAAAATTACTTTCAAAAACCTAATCACAGGTACCTGAATGTATATAAAATCCATTTATATCAATTAAAAATAAGAGATAGAGGTTTAGATTAAAACTGAGAAAATCTATTAAAAAAATATTTAGCGCGAAAGATTCTTTATTATATGAAATTGGATAAATTCATATATACGGGTTGAAAAATATCATGAGGAGAGATAGTATTTTCTAATCCCACTTTTATGAGTTTGTCCAATCTTATGTAATAAGCAAATGTTAAATATTTTCCTAATAATTTTTCTCATTATAATCACAATTCCCATCCCCATTTTTTATGCTTTACACAACACAAACGATAGAGTAATGCTCTGTCCTCCTTGGTATCTGCGAAATCTTTTCTGGATAAATGAATGGACAGAGTACTCATGTTTATATGCGGAAGCAGAGAAACAGGGTAGACGGCACGGCACTCCTGCGCTTTTCCATTGAGTGAGGAATTTCACAATCCCTAGAATGAAAAATCTGATAGTTTCATCAAGAATGTCCACACAGGTTGGGATGCATAAAACTAGACGAACGGTAAGAATTACAGACAAGGAAAGGAAAGGCATCTGAATCATGGTCCCACTATTGGATTCAGCTGGCGTTGCTCCCACGCACCTCCCCTGCTTTTCCCACTTACTCATGCGCACGCTTCTCATCCTCACGATTAGAATCTTCCTTCTTTATGTAATTTATTTAAATTTTCTTTTAGAATTCTACGATCAGGGAAAAGAAGTTGCATCTCTTTTTTCTGCCTCATAAAAATATAAGCAAAACATTAAATGGAAAATTATAAACTTTGAGATGTTTCATTGTATGTCTGGCTAGTTGGGTTCTGATTCGTTTCTGCACTAATTATATCAAGTCGAATGCATGCCCTGACTCTCTTATTTCAATATTCTTTGTCATTCCGTGCAGAGATCAGCCACCTCACTTGACCAACTCTTCATTTCCCTTTCAAGTGCTATTTATCTTCTTCCTCTGTAAATTTCAAATTCCGAGCTTGGGATTCTCCTTTGCAACTGTTGCCATGTCTTTCAGAGGTCTCGACCGGGTAAGTTCTTCTCTGGTGTGAGAATATTTTGGCTTGTCGGAACATGAAAAGTCGTTAATCTAAGCTTTTTGACGAAAACATTAAACCTGGCTATTATCAGCCAAATGCCTCGTCAGGCATGGGAGTGGCTGATCACAGCAAGAAGAGCTTCATGGAGCTGAAGCAAAAGAAGGTGCATCGATACGTGATCTTCAAAATCGATGAGAAGAAAAGGGAGGTGGTGGTGGAGAAAACGGGTGGTCCGGCGGAGACTTATGATGATTTCACGGCATCACTGCCTGAGAATGATTGCAGATATGCTGTGTATGACTTTGATTTCGTCACTTCAGAGAACTGCCAGAAAAGTAAAATCTTCTTCATTGCGTGGTCAGTTTCCAACCCATAACCTTGAGTTCGTTGATTCTGGCGGGCACACACACACATATAACGTAACTCTATGGTGATCATGTATTGGTAATTATAGGTCACCTTCAAGCTCTCGAATCCGAGCCAAGATGCTGTATGCGACATCGAAAGACAGGTTAAGGAGGGAGCTAGATGGGGTGCACTACGAAATCCAGGCAACTGATCCCACAGAAATGGATCTTTGAAGTTCTCAGAGATCGTGCACATTAATTCACACTTCTCCATGCTCTGCCTGTCTTTTTATCTTCATTATATTACATGACTAGTGCACACACGTACGTCTCGGCATTAAAACTACCTGTAACAATAAAGTGAATCTCTCTCGTGCCTAATGGACTTGAGCTTGTATCTCATGCTGGGAATTCTGCATCCCGTCTCTTCAATCAGTAAGCAAGTAATTTGAAATTTGAAATTGACATAAAGTTGTTAATATTTCTCAGCTTTTTAATACAGTTAATTAACTATGAGTAGTTCAGAAAAATACCGGGATATTTTACTTCATCTCCGTGTTTGTATATAATCAATTTGAAAACAGTTATGCTTATTTTTGTATTTTTGTGAATATTTTTGCAAATTAGTTAGATATATTAGCAGAGATATATATAGTGTGACGTTAATTTGATCTTCATCTTATGTTTCTTCAATGGCCGATAGTTGAGGTTAATTAAAAAGGTGGAACAACCTGAACAAAAATTTTCCGTACGATATTTTCTGTGCTTTTGCCGGCTGGAATTTAGAGTTAAACAAACCGCCAAAGTAATCACAAATCAAACATGCTATCTCCGGTCTTAAATATAACATCTCATTCCCCTCGTTTGTAGCATTATTTATTATTTATTGACTAGCAACATTAATTAATTTAATTTGAAGTGGAATGAGATGGAACTGATACCCATTTCTATATAGACACGTACCAATCAAATAATACTTCCAATTCTTAATATAAGAGTTTATTTGGCTTTTATTTTAATTCTAAATATATGACACCAATTCATTTTATTTTTTATATTTATCTTTTTTTTAAAGTAGTCCTTGTAATAATAGTAGTTTTAACTAATATACTTGATTAGTAATGATATTTTAAGAAAAACACTACCGATTTATTACAAATAACTAACTTAACTTTTAGTCAAAAGAAACTTAACTAGTTTTCTTAATTTACTCAAATTAGTCAACTAACTCTTATATTAGTAAGAATTAGAAGTGGCAGCAAGAGGAATTGTTCCATTGTTGCAATCGGGTGCTTGCTCTGTGTGCACCTTGCCTTCGTCTTCCTCCTCAGCTTCCCCTGATATATCCTCCAAGGATTTGCCCTTTGGCTCAGGCACCAAGAAAGTGAGAGCGAAGCCTAAAGCATTAATGGCGCCCAGCACAAGTAGTGAATTCTTCAACCCAATACCAGGACCATACCCTGCATCTACTTTTCTGGGATCCTGATTCTGTGCCAGAGCCAGGAATCCGAATACGCCAACTATAGCCCCCAGGTTCCCAGACGCTGATGATATGCCATGACACGTTGATCTGAATCTGGTGGGGAAAATCTCTGCTGGCACCACAAATGTCGTAGCATTGGGTCCAAAATTTGAAAAGAAGAAAGTCAGAGAGTACAACACCACAAATCCAATTCGGTTCTCCTTCAGAGTCCAGTGGTGGCAAGGAATGGCCAGAGCAAACATGAACACAGTCATGAAAAAGAGCCCCATCAACTGGATAGTGAATCTTCCTATTTTGTCCATTAAAGCCACCGTGAACCAGTAACCTGGAACTGCACTGCACAGAGCAATAAGAGTTTGAGCCTTGGCAATGTGGCAAAGCTCGTCGAGGGCGTTCATGGTTTTTGCAGGGGGAATCCATCCAACTGCACTGAATATATCTTTCTGGAAGAGGTTTTGGCTGTAGTAAGCGATATCAAGTAAGAACCAAGCGCTCGAGGTTCCTAGCAAATGAAGGCCATGACGAATCAGGAACTCCTTAGAAAACAATCCAAACAACTTGGCCTTTGTCTGATCAGTAGTTTTCTTCTCAACTTTCTCATGCTCAGCTTGAATCTCCACCTGCAAAACCTTGGACATATCAGCCGCTGCTCTCTCTGTATTCTGAGCAACAAGAGCAGTGTAACGAGCAGTTTCAGGCATCTTCATCCTCCAATAATAAGTCAACAAAGCTGGAACCGATCCCGCCATTAGAATAATCCTCCAAACAAAGTCTGCCTGAGGAACCGTTGAACCAGTTGGATCAACCTGATAAGGAGGAGCATCGAGCCTGGACTTGAACGCAGCCGAGATGATCATTGCAAACAAGACCCCAGCCAAAATCCCAAAACCCTGCATGGCAAAAACAGCTGAAATGAAAGCACCACGAGTCTTCTTGCTAGAATACTCAGACATGATGGTTGGAGAAAGTGGGTAGTCTCCACCAATACCAAAGCCAAGCCAGAATCGGAAAAAGCAGGGAGTGTTCATTACAGATTTAGCGGTGTGCCCGAAGGAGAGGCCAGAGCAAATGGCACACATGATCATCGTCAACAGAGTGATGCCGTGAACGGCTCTCCGTCCCACCTTATCTCCCATCCAGCCAAAAAAGAGCTGGCCAGTGAGTGTTCCGCAGAAAGCTACGCCATTAATGGCGGCCGATACGTGGGAGGCAACGTACCAGGTTTGTCTGCATCTGCCGTGTAATAATAAACACGACCGATCAACTTAGTGACAAGGGAAATGGCGAACAGGTACGCGTCCGTGAAGAAGCCCATGCCTGCAATAATGAAGGCAGTAAAATGATAGCATTGTGTTTTCGCCACACCCAGTGCCTTCAGCACTTGGATCTCTTCCTTCCCCATGATTTGCTATATATCCTGATGACCTCTCCTTCTCAACGCTTGGCATTCACTGCACAAGTTCAAACGTTGGATGATGCAAAAGCCAAAACAGAGAACGTAATTAGATATGTATGATGCCACAATATTTACCAGAGATATAAATACTGACACAAAACTACTGAACAAGCGCTAAAGTGGCTGGTGTCTCTATGTAGCGATCGTGATTTGGTGATGAAACGCTGATCTCTAATCTTCTATAAGTATAAATAAAACAGTATTGTAAAGAGGGTGAAGTAAAAGAAGCCTGGGGTAAAGGAGGTAATAAAAAACCGAATTACCAAATAGGGAAGGGGGAGAATTTATACGTAACAAGATTAGTTGCAGGATATTCTAAAAGCATATTCTTGAACAAAGTAGCTGTTGAAATAAATAGAATTTTTATTTTTCTTATTTTTCCCTTTGTCTGCACCCCGTAAACACAAACACGCGTTGCAATACTCTAGAATTTCACTTGATGTCTCTTGATTTTTTTAAATCTTGAAACATATTTTGGCTGAGCTTTATTAATATAATAAGAAATTCGTATTGAAATTTAGGGAAACGAATTGTTATTTAACTTAAATTTGAAGTATTCCAGTAACATTGTATACTTCTTGGCGGCAAAGAGTAATATTATATACTGGTTTTAAAAAAAAATTAATATCTACCTCTTATTAATTAACTAGTAAAATAACTGTCCATGAACTTCATCATTAAAAAGGTACTTGGACGAAAACCAAATCATGATTTTAAAATTAATTTTACAATATAACAAGCAAATATATAGAGAAGTTTATTTTAATTTACGATAATGTGTTTTTCACAAGCACTTTTGTTTAATACCAAACACTCCCTAAGTTGGGTTTTTTTTTTGGCCAGAATATGATAAAACTATTGCAAATGCTGTGTTGACCTGCTTAACCTACACAGCAGTCGCAATTTACTATATACGCAACCTTAATTTTTCAAAAAAGCATAGTTTTTTTTTTAAATACACAAATTCGATTATTCAATTAAAATTTCATATATTAATATTATTTTATCTAAAACACGGGCCAGCCTATAAAACTTAACTAGCAGACCGGGCCAGTCAGTTCTAAGTTCTAACTTTCCAACTATTTTTGAAGTGAGTTTTTCTTTTTTGTTTTTTTAAAGACGAAATCCTGATTTGGTTGTATGTTATGTACATGTAGACGAACCTCTTGTGATGGTTTGATATTCTCAGATCTCATCCCCAGTATTCTGATGGCATGCATTTTTGTTTTTTTGTGATGGCTTGTGAATTAGTTAATGACTTTTTATAATAAGGGGAAGAGGGAGTACCTAATATATCAAACTCCCAACAAATTTGCAACGCACATACAGGCTCCACTTGGTCCCATACACATATATACACATCCATTACGTAATTGCACGTGTCTGATGTAAGAGATCAAGTTATAATTGGAATTGATGTTACATGGACGTGGGATATATGTTTGAATTTCTGGGAATTAGGCAAACACCTTTCGGAATTGCGTAAACCCGAGTATCCCTTGCAAGCCATATATTTGATACAATAATGAATTCCGGTTGTTATCATATTCTTTATCATATATGTTCTTTCCAAGCTTCCTAATTTTCAGGTAGTAACTGGATTAAGAAGAGCGATGAATGCTAATTAACACCTGATTGGACTCGCACGGTCCATTATATATAATTTTGACATTCGAACATTATTACAACAAGCAGAGAAGGCTAAACAAGGGGAATGTTGTGGACCTTCCCCTGCCTTCACTGTGCATACAGCTTTATTCCCTTAGTAGTAATATTGATTGATATTGAAGGAGCAACAAAACCTAAGCACAAGGAACAGTTTTGTTACTGTAACCATGTGGTTGCTCTGCCTCCACCTTGCCTTCGTCTTCTTCCTCATTCTCCCCAGACATTTCCTCCAAAGATTTCCCCTTTGCCTCAGGCACCAAGAAAGTGAGGAAGAATCCTAAAGCGTTAATCACGCCCAACACAAGCAAGGAATTTCTTACCCCAATGCCAGGATGGTACCCTGCATCTACCTTGCTCGGGTCCTTGTTTTGTGCCAGATACAAGAACCCAAACGCCCCAACTATAGCCCCCAGCTTCCCAGATGCTGATGATATGCCATGACACGTTGATCTGAATCTGGCCGGGAAGATCTCTGCTGGCACCACAAATGTCGTAGCATTGGGTCCGAAATTTGCAAAGAAGAAAGTCAGAGAGTACAACACCACAAATCCAATTCGGTTCTCCTTCAGAGTCCAGTGGTGGTAAGGAATGGCCAGAGCAAACATGAACACCGTCATGAAAAAGAACCCCATCAACTGGATAGTGAATCTTCCTATTCTGTCAATTAAAGCCACAGTGAACCAGTAGCCCGGAATTGTACTGCACAGAGCAATCAGAGTTTGAGCCTTGGCTATGGAGTAAAGCTCGTCGAGGGCATTCATGGTTTTTGCAGGAGGAATCCATCCAATTGCACTGAATATATCTTTCTGGAAGAGGTTCTGGCTGTAATAAGCGATGTCAAGCAAGAACCAAGTGCTCGAGGTTCCAAGCAGATGAAGGCCATGACGAATCAGGAACTCCTTAGAAAACAATCCAAACAACTTGGCCTTTGTCTGATCAGTAGTTTTCTTCTCAACTTTCTCCTGCTCAGCTTGAATCTCCACCTGCAAAACCTTGGACATATCAGCCGCTGCTCTCTCTGTATTCTGAGCAACAAGAGCAGTGTAACGAGCAGTTTCAGGCATCTTCATCCTCCAATAATAAGTCAACAAAGCTGGAACCGATCCCGCCATTAGAATAATCCTCCAAACAAAGTCTGCTTCAGGAACCGTTGAGCCAGTTGGATCAACCTGATAAGGAGGAGCATCGAACCTGGACTTGAACGCAGCCGAAATGATCATTGCGAACAAGCCCCCAGCCAAAATCCCAAAACCCTGCATCGCAAATACGGCGGCAATGAAAGCACCACGAGTCTTCTTATTAGAGTATTCAGACATGATGGTGGCAGAAAGTGGGTAGTCTCCGCCAATGCCGAAGCCAAGCCAGAATCGGAAAAAGCAGAGAGTCGTGATGACAGACTTAGGAGTGTGTCCGAAGGAAAGGCCAGAGCCAAGGGCACATACGATCATCATCAACAAAGTCATGCCATAGACAGTTTTTCGGCCGAGCTTATCGCCCAGCCAGCCAAAGAAGAGTTGCCCAGAAAGTGTACCGCAGAAGGCCACGCCATTAACTGCAGCTGACACGTTGGGAGGTAGAGTCCCAGGTTTGAGTGAATTGGGTTCATGGTAGTAAATACGACCAAGCAATTTGGTGACGAGGGAAATTGCGAAGAGGTCATATGCATCAGTGAAAAAGCCCATTCCTGCTATGATGATTGCAGTAAAATGGTACCATTGTGTTTTTGCCAAGTCCAATGCATTCAGCACTTGAATTTGTTGCTTCCCCATGCTTCACCCCAAACCCCTTCTCTGTTCTTCCTTTCTTCAGTGGCTTGCCTTCATTGCACCAGTTGAACCAAATTGTATTTAGTAAATACGTATAATATCTCTTAATCTCACAAATCAGACATTTTTTATTTAATCTCTTTCTTGGTAATTTACTCATCTGTGACCACAGAATATCGGAACTAACGTCACTCCGTACAATTGGCCCGTCTTCTACACTTTTGATCAGTCGATATCGATAAATTAAAAGGCTATGTCGGCACAAAGTCTCAGGTTTCCCGGCAAGAAATTCAATGGAACCATTGAGAGAAACGCGCCGGCGGAGACAAGTTCAGGTGTGGGTAGCTGGCAATCCCAAAATTGCCAAAGCATAAGCTGTAGTGTATAAATTTAAATTTTTTTTTTGAAAGTCTTGCTATCCATGAGTAATGAATAATGAATAATGTGACTCATAAAGAGCACTTACTTATATTATAATTTTAGTTTAATCAAAGAACACGGAATGTTTGTTGTGCCATATTTGATAATGTTGATTTTGGACCGCATTATTAAATAATAAATAAATATTAGTAAATTATTTTAATTTCACAGAGCATGTTATTTTAAGAGGAAAAAAATGAAAAAGATATTATTATAAAGAAATATTCCTCTAGTCCTTAATATAAGGACCGAATAGTTAATTTTGATCTTAAATATTAGACATATTTCTCATATTTATCATTTTTTCTAAATTACTCTTATGGTTACTTTCTCAACCATAATCAAGTGAGTGAGCGATGGAGGATATTAAGAAAAATGATTATGGTATTTTAGGAAAAACAGATCATATTTCTCATAATAATTAACTAATTTACCTAATTTTTTTAATTTAATCAAATTAGTTAAATAAGTCTTATATTAAAAATGGAAGGAGTATCACTTTAAAAAAATACAAGATTGATTTTTAGGAAATAAATCCGCGTGTGACTTATTGGCAGTTGTTCTTTTTTTCTTGTGAGATTTTTATGCTAAAATATATGCTACTATTCGGCAATAGCAGAATCTAATGTAATTTAATTTGAGAAAAAAATTACTCCTGCTTTGAATGCTAATAATGTAACGAAACAAGCTGCGCAGAACGGACCATCACTCTGAGGAAAAAAACAAGGGCAGTGATCCTGCCTTTCTAATAATAATATATTCCATTCAAATTATATCGCAAAACAACGTAACGTCAATGTAGGAGTAAAGTTAAATATTATTCACCCACTGAATGTAAAAAAGACATACATGCCAGTAAATTAAATCATGCAGAAAAGGAGTTCAGTTTGGAATAAATTAGAGAACTATTCTGATAATGCATGATTGCTAGAAAAGGCACACATTGGACCCGACCCGACCCATAAGGCTCAAGTTACTATTATGAATAAACAAGAAAGCACATTTTGATTACAGAGGCACCATATATAACCAAATATGAAGGAACAATGAATAAATGGAGAGTTAAAAAAAAACACACACACACACAAAAAAGAATGTAGATACGTAGAAAGGGGGCAAGAGAGGAAGGTAAAAACCTGCAAGAGACAAGCTGGAGAGGGAAGAAAAAAGATGAAGGAAGTGACGAGGAAGTTGGTGTGTATATGTTATGAGTCTGTGTAGAGAGGAGGAGTGAGGAAAGCATTTATAGGCAACAAATGCCCCAACAGTCTCCCAAATATTCCAATGGCATATGCCTTAGCTTCCTTCACTTTTCCAACCTTGTCACTTGTCTCTTACTTTTTCACCTTCAGTGCTCCACCATTCATTTTATTTAATTCAACCACACACACACACACACACAAATTCCCCACTAAAGGCCACTTTATCATCTTAACCACATTAAGTTGGTTAGTTTGAACTAAGTTTGACCTTTGTTTAATTACCAAGAATTTGACCGTCCAGAATATGAAGTCTCAATGTGATGACTCAACAGCTTTCATTTAGCAGTGACAATTAAATGCAGAATTAGAACAACGCAAGTGGCCCTAGAAGGATTCGCATGGAATGGAGAAGGGTCTGATATTTTGTAATTTTGATCCATATTAGTCTGACTCATGAAAATCTAATGGTGGTGTTACATATTTTGGCCAAAAAGTACAAAACCATGCAAATAGAAGGGTATATAGCCACTAGGATTTCACCACCCGCACATCAATAAATGGTTTATGATAATAATTGATGATATTAGGACAAAGTAATAAACGAACGAGCACGCGTGCGAAGTTTGAACAAAAATGGAACATTATGTTGTACTCCTCCGATCTTTAATATATGACCTAATTATTATATAAGTTGATTTTAGTCCTAAATATAAAACTTATTTATCAAATTTGTTAATTTTTTTTAAATTATCCTTATAAATACTCCCTCAATCATAATCAAATTAAATAGAAGAGGGAGAGAGGATATTAAGAAAAATAATTATAATGTTTTAGAAAAAATATATCATCTTTTTTATAATTAACTAACTTATCCAACTTCTTTAATTTAATCAAATTAGTTAAAAATGTCTTATACTAAGAATCAGCGGAGCATTATTTTGTGAGGTTAAGAATCGAGTTTTAGAAATTTGGTCCCGGAAAAAGTGGAAGTGGGCAGTCTAGAACCGAAAACCGAATGATTAACCGCATTAGCGGTCATTAAATATGAATATTATTCGTCCAGCCACAGGGGGCCTATTTTCGCTACTTCCCGTCTCCATGTGTCCTTCTCGCTCTATATAGTCAAACCATATATATATATATATATATATATACACTTTTCCGGTCTTAAATATAAAACCTTTTTTATAATATAAATTACACTATAAAAAGAATTTTATATTTAGGACTGGAGGAGTATGTATATATGTAGTACTCCTCCGGTCCTAATTATAAGACCCAATTGACTTATTTGAGGAGATTAAGGAAGTAAGTTAAGTTGGTTATTTATAATAAATAAGTGTTGTTATTCCTAAAATATCCTTGCTAATTAAGTATATTGGCTAAAACTATCATTATTAGAAGGATTATCTTGGAAAAAAAATGCATAAATATAAAAGAAAAATGGATTGGGTCTTATAATTAGGACTAAATAAAAAGTCAAATTGGGTCTTATAATAAGGACCGGAGGAGTATAATATAGCGCTATATGTTTGTCTATAATAATCATGAACGTTAAATCAATAATATATTTAAATAATTATACGGGAAAATTACAAATTGTAGGTCCCAAATAATAACAAGCCCCGTTAATTTGCTGGAATAGTGAGCTCCCAGCATTTTTTTAGTGACGTTATTTGTGATCAGTGCGAGAAAGACGACACTTAAAAGGGCTTAGGGAACTTCATCATGCATCATGATTAACAAAATTCACTTTATCTATAAATAAATCTTTTTATTTGACGCCTATTCATAATTTGCCGTCCTAAGTAAAATAGTTTTTGTATTGGAGCATGGCAACTTATACCACCATAACCTCAATCACAGTAATAGACTCCTATGGCTTTCCGCTCCGCAAATATTTATCATCTCCGTTGGAGTATTACGCTGACTTTTATAGTAGTACTACCTCCGGTTCTAATTATAAGACTCAATTGACTAATTTGAAGAGATTAAAAAAGTAAGTTAAGTTAGTTATTTGTAATAAATAAGTGTTGTTATTCCTAAAATATCCTTGCTAATTAAGTGTATTAGCTATCATTATTATTATTAAAAGGATTATCTTGGAAAAAAATGCATAAATATGAGAGACAAAATGGATTGGGGTCTTATAATTAGAACCAAACTAAAAGTCAAACAGGGTCTTATATTAAGGACCGAAAGTAGTATATCATAATCATCACAGATATGGTTATTTTACGGGTTAAGTCGAAAATTTGGCCGAAAGTTTTTATGGTAATTGGAAGTTCTTTTTAATGTAAATTTTTCCTGAAAATTTAAATCCATATTAATATTATCCATTAAATTGCAACTATTTTAAATTTTCGAGATAAATTTGTGCTCAAGAGTATTTTTTAGTACCTAGCATTTATAAGTAAAAAATTTTTTATACAAATTTACATCTTAACCTGTTGTTTTATTACACAACGCTCAGCTGCTTCGTGTTTTAGTTAGCTATATTGTTGATTTGGTTTTTAGTCTCTTGTTATTTCATTTTAATTATATTACCTCTAGTTTTTTTTATATAAACATTAGTTTAACATTCAATTTGATTATAAATGTAAGATCACAATCCACTTGTTTTCAATATCTATCTATTTTGCCCTCTAGTAATCCCTGTAGTAGTTGTAATGTGTAAAAGAATTGTAATTCAAACACATATGATTAATAAGGATATTTTATGAAAGAGAACATTTATTTATTACAAATAACTAATTTTCTTAATTTCCCCCAAATTAATCAAATAAATCTTATATTAAGGATTCGATGGAGTGTTATAAAATATTATTACCTCCGGTCCTTAATATAAGGATTAATTTGATTTTCAATTTGGTTATAAATATATAAGACCCCAATATACTTTATTTTTTATATTTATTTTTTCAAAGTAGTTCTTATAATAGTTGTATATGTTAAATGTTCTATTAGATGATAGTTTTAACTAATATAATAACAATGATATTTTAAAAAAGACACGATCCATTTATTATAAATAACTAACTTAACAAATTTTTTAATATATTTAAATTAGTCAACTAACTCTTATATTAAGAATCAAAGATAGTATCTAAAAGCATCTGTTACAACGGACTGAAATGGCAGCGTGCAAGACTGCAAGCCATAGTTGCGTAATGAAGCAGGCTCTATATACGCCTGTTGTGGGTGCTCGACCTTGGCTCTTGCTTTGTTGTCCTCTGGAACTTGAAATAGACACTTGCATGTTTCTTGAAGTCCTGTGGCGTCTTAGAACTATATAATCCGGTTAATGAACAAGAAAAAGCAGCAATTAAAAGTCTTTGCTTGAAAAGCAAGAGATCCTCGTAATTTTATATACAGCTGAATTTATTCAAAGCTTGATGAAAAGAAAAAAGAAATCCATTTCAATTTGCCTTTGCACATTTATAATTGTATAGATGGATTGATTCCCTACGGATTAGTTGTATAATAACAATGGAATTCGGAAAATCACCCCCCGATCCGTTTGCTTTTAAATTTAACCGCGGCAGAAAGACATGGAACCTGAAATATACTTCCAAGATATATAATGTCCAAAATATTGGTTTCAAAAGATGTGAAGTCCTGTAACCAACCCAAAAAAAATAAAAGAAGTGAAGCCCACTAGGAAATCAAAAGTTTATGGATGATCGATGAGAGTTGGTCCCATTAGAAGAAAAAAAATAGGCTTATAACTCATAGGTTACGTTTAGTAGGAAGTATTGAAAATAAGAGATTGGGATTAGGATTGCAATTGAGAAAATATATTAAAAGAGTATTTAGTATAAGAGATTGTTTCTTATATGGGATTAGCCAAACCCATGTATGTGGGATTGGAGAATACCATGGGGGGAAGTGGTATTCTCCAGTCCCACGTCTATGAGTTTGCCTAATCCTATATAACAAACAATTGCTCATGTTAAATATTATTTTAATGATTTTTTTTATTGTAATCCTAATCTCAATCTCTCATTTTCAATACTTTCTACCAAACGGGACCATAAGGTTGTGGGTCGAATCCTGCTGTTGATATGAGGACTTTGATCTATAAGTATCTCTTTATGAGTACTTTCTGAGCCTGAAAATATGTTCTGGTCTTAGTAAGCTCCCAGGATCCAACTCATCTAAAAAAATTTTATCAATGTATATCATTGAGACGTTATAGTACATTCTATTGTCTCATGTTATGAACAAACTTATATTCATCTTCACTCAACATCAACTACTTTTATTCGAATCCTCCTATTTCATAGCCAATATATATCAATATATAGGGTGATAGATAGCTTATAGCTGAGTAAATTAAAATGCCGGGAAAGCTTCTTCTAGAATTGATTCCAACATTTAGACAGAGTCCATCAATACGAAGATCAATTGAATAATGATAATTAAAAAAAAGATCTTGTTCACTAATGTTAATTAGCTTAGAAAGAGAATGATGAAAAGGAAAAACCTGGAAAGAGAGGAAAATATTAATGGGGGGCGGGTGGAAGTGCCATGGAAAGTTTTTTTTTTGGGGGGGGGGGTATTTCTGAATTCTGAAGGCACAGGTATTACAATTTAAAAAAAGAGAAAAGGAGGGAAGCTGGTCCACCATAAAGCCACTACATGAACGAGAAATGACTGATGTATACAGATCCACGTGCTTTTCCTTTATTCCCTGCGACTAAAATCGGGGTGCAAAACCATGCCTGTCCATTTTTGAGGGCCGTAGTTTAAAGAAGATCTCTGCCCAGATTTTTGAAATCAAGCTCTGCGGCGAAAAGCCTGCCTCTTTCACCATATTAAAATACCCCAACCAGCTCCCGGAACAAGTGAACGTCCTCGTCAGGTTGGTGGGTTTTTGTGCTTCTCGAATATTGGGTCACCTCCAAACCCACCCCACTTACCACCATGCCCTAGTGGGGAGCACAATGAGCGAACAACGGAACAACTCAAAAAACACAACAAAAGAGGTAACCATTTTGACAA